AATAGTACGTGCTGAGAAGCTACAAAATAGAGAACAAAAAGAAGACACTGCAAGGCATTGAAAAGTCGGCGTCTAGAACCGTGCAAAGTCATAAAAACTCACGGCCTAACTTATTTAAACCAATTAATAAGTTATATTCGTTCGAAGGTTCCTTTTTGAAATATACTTATCATTTGCCAAAGCACCTTAATTAAATATTATATTCTTCTAAATTAAAATTATCTAACATTCGAACTCTCACGTTAATCCCTATTCTAAAATATAAGTCTTTGACAATACTACTTTAAATTTGAATAGCTTGTTATTTATTCACAAAATCCATATAGTACAAGATGCATTTGAATTTCAAGCCAAATTACAGAGAAGTTTTGGCCACTAAAATCTTCCTATTGACTTAAGCTACCAATCTATTATTTTTATTGCTTTAGAAGCTAGCTCTTGCATTTACAAGTAGCAATGGATTTTAAGAAAGATTGTCACTTTGTTCTTATACAATTGAGGTAATCAAGATTATTTTCAAACATGTCAAGAAGCAACTAAGTTTACAACAAAGATTGAGCCATTCAATTAACATATGTGAATACCTTCTAATAAAGAATTAAAATGGTCATCTAATCAAAAAGTAGACATGAGAAATTACTTATCTACATATGGTGTAAACAAAACAATAAGTGCACTCATCATCTACACTTGTAGTATGCGTCAAATCAAATTAAACAAGGGAGAAAATAATAATGAATGCAAAATCATAAAATCAAGATTAAAATATTGACTCTAAATTCAATTTCAAGTTTAGAGAACTAATTTTGAACTTAAAATTGTAACCTTGATTTTGCGAATTTTTTGCTTGTTCGATCCAAACCAAGATGAAACTTGTCAAATGGAACTCAAATATCAAGCACAATCTTCACAACAATAATTAAGACAAACCATACAAATCAATATGAAAATTTGCCTTAAAAAATCAAGTGAAATAATGAAATTCTAAACTTGCTTAAACTTCAAAGCGAAAAGAAGAAATCTAACAAATAAATTGCTTACCTAGCTAGAAAAATGCTGGATAAGAGAAATTAACCGCGTCGGAAAAGGTGGGGGCTCGGCTGATTCACTGAAAAATTACAAGAAAAAATTACTTAGTAAAAAAAACAAGAGAGATGATGGACGGGGAGAGAGAGAGAGAGAGAGAGAGAGAGAGAGAGAGAGAGAGAGAGAGAGAGAGAGAGAGAGAGAGAGACTGGCGGAGGGACGGAGGGACGGAGGCGGGCTGCAGAAGAAAGAAAAGAGAAAGAGAAAAGAAGAGAAAGAAAGAAAGAGAAGGGGTCGTGATAGGGTTTTTAACATAACTTCTCGACCATTTTGTTCGAAACTTTAATATTTATTTTTAATAAATTTAGAGTTTCAGACCGAATCGGTCAAAATTTTAAATTTTTAATTTTTGCAACCGAGTCAACGGTGTAATTTTGACTTTTAATTAGAGGCAATTTCAATCGGAAATTTGCTTTGCGGATTTTTGCGCCAAGCTGTGCGACCACTTTTGTCAGAAACATAGTCGAAGTTATTTAATAAAAATATACCTGATTTTTTTAAAATTTTCCAAACTGTTTCGGTCAGAAATTTCCGACACCAGTGTTCTGTCGAAAAGTTTTGATCGGAAAAACACGATTTTCTAGTAGAGCTTAGACAGCGCAAGACACTGTCCGACGTGCCAAGATTGGCGTCCCTGACGGCGCAAGGCGGAGTGCAATTGGCACCTCTGATGGCGTCTGGCACTGAAATATTGGCGCCACAGACGGTGCCCTTGTTGACTATACCTTATTTAAGAGCCCAAACTTAGAGATCTCCCATTATGACTAACAGTCAAATTGTAGAGCAAATTAGCAGCCCAATTTCAGGGATATTTGTCTAGCAATTAGTAGGCTAGTAATCAGGAGATAATTGAGACTCCTTTACTTGTATAAATACCGTGTAAATCCTACCGTTCTGGACATTGAAATATATTAGCATTTCTTCAGTTTCTGTATCTCTCTCTCTCTTTTTCAATATGGTATCAGAGCCTAGAAAAATTTTCCCCAGAATACTCTATTTAGTTTCTTCGGTAAATTTGTTTGATCCATCTCCGATTCTCCTTTGATTCATCTCCGGTTCTTTTGATACCCTTCAATTCCGATTTATTTTCTTCTTTGAATCATGGCGGATTCACGAGAACCTTGTCTACAAAATTCGATGGGCATAACTTCCCATTCTGGAAATTTCATTTCAAGGCTTTCATTCGAGGCAAAGGTCTCCTTAGTATATTGGATGGATCAATGGATGTACCCACTGACGGCAAAAAAAAAAGAAGATTGGGAGGCTGTCAATGGCAAAATCATCACATGGCTTATCAATTCTGTCTCTGTTGATATAGCTATGGAGCTGACATCCTTTGAGAAAGCATCAGAAATGTGGAGTCATCTACATTCCCTCGGTAACCCACAAAATTTGACTAGAGAACTTGAATTGGAAAGGCTACTTACAGAATCGAAACAAGGTGAGAAAAATGTTCGTTCCTTCTATTCTTGATTACTCACATTATGGGCTGAGCAAGATCAGATTTTTGCGGCTTCAATCCCTGCGGCTAGACTGAAGGATTTCATGACTACTATAAAGAGGACAAGCACTGTCCAGTTCCTGATGAAACTCAGGTCTGAGTTTGAGCCGTTACGTTCCAGCATTCTCAACAGGGAAAACTACCAGCTTTGGATGTGGTGGTTTCCGAAGTTCTTCGAGAAGAAACCCGGTTGGGGTCTCAAGCTTCTATGGAGAATTCCCTTGCCATGGACACTGCCATGGCTGCATACAGAATTTCTTCTTCCTCGGGCAACTCCAACAAGTCAACTCAATGTTTTCATTGTAAGGAAACAGGACACATCATTGCTCATTGCAAGAAGCGAAATTATTGCAACTATTGTGAGAAGGATGGTCACATTATTCTAGAGTGCCGTAAGAAACCTGGTTCGTTAGGCAAACGCTCAACTCCTCATAAAGCCTTTCAGGCGATGGCAAGGGATGTTGGTACACATCAAACACCACCATTGCATGATTCTTGTATCATAAAATGATACAAGAACCATTGGTGGCGGCTCTTCCTAATGCAATCTCTACAGCTCTGACTGCTACATACCCCGCTAAGAATACAATTTCAGATTCAATGGTATGGCATATTGATTCGGCTGCATCTAACCACATGACGGGAAGTCAAAATGTTTTTTCTGATTTATCTAGAACACGTTCTACACATGAAATTATTACAGCAAATGGTCATATTTTATCTGCATCAGGCATTGGCTCCATTAACCATTTTCGAAAGTTCTTTGTGTACCAAAACTTACTACAAATCTTTTATCTGTTGGACAACCTGTAGAACAGAATTGTTTGGTTATATTTTCTCCTAACATTTGTGTTATTAAGAACATATTGACAGGGGAAACGATGGCCAGGGGGCGTAAGGTTGGAAGGTTGTTCCTTCTTCAATCTACGAATACCAAGCTTCATCAGTGTTTTCTATCGGCTTCAAAAAAAGATATTGAGTTTTCAAATAAAATGTGGAACTTGTGGCATCTTCGCTTAGGCCATCCGCACTCTTCTCGTTTAAATTTCATGTTGAAATATTGTATTTTGTTGGATAAACGCTCACTAATTTTGCCCTCAAAATTACTTGTGAGAGTTGTGCAAGATAAAAGAGTCATAAACTTCCATTTCAATTAAGCAATAGTACTTATTCTACTCCTTTCGATTTAATTCATAGTGATGTTTGGGTCCTTCTCCAATTATATCTCGTTTGGGATACAAGTATTTTATCTTATTCGTTGACCAAGCATCTCGTTATACTTGGGTTTTCTTTTTGAAACAAAAATCTGAGGTACCAAACATTGTCAAACAATTTTATAACCTTATAGAAACCCAGTTTGAAAAAAAGATCAAGGTTTCTCGTTCAGATTCGGGAGGGGGGGGGGGGAGTATGTCAATACAAACCTCACTAACTTTTTTCAAGAAAAAGGCATTATTCATCAACGTGCTTGCCCTTATACACCTGAACAAAATGGTGTGGTGGAACGTAAAAATAGACATGTTGTTGAAACTGCATTAGCTCTTCTTGATACATCAAATGTTCCAAAAATATTTTGGGCTGAAGCTATTCAAACATCTATTTATCTTATAAATAGACAATCATCTTCGGTCATTAAGCAAAATTGCCCCTATTTTATTCTTTTTAAAAAATTACCCGACTACTCGCATCTTAAAGTATTTGGTTGTGTATGTTTCGTTCTTCTTCAAGATCATGAACGTCATAAATTATCCTCTAAAGCTGTTAGGTGTACTTTTGTGGGATACAATGACTTTCAAAAAGGATATTTGTATTATGATCCAATACGTCATTCATTGAGAATTTCTCGACATGTTATCTTCTTTGAAAATTCTTTTACTTATGCTAGTAAAGACCCACAATCTTCTACTAAATCCTTTTTGCAAAAAAATTTCACTCATGATTCTGTTGGCCATAACAACCTAGCCACTGGTCCATCATTGAACTCGCCCACTGCTACAACAGGCATTACTGATGACTCTGACCCTTTTTTTGATAATGATACTACTTCAGTAAACACTAATCCTTTACCTCAACAACTCGACACACAATATTTCGTCAAATCTTAATAACAACCTTCTCCTCCTCGTCAAAAAGCCATTAGACACTCACTCTGTCACGTTCCCCCTCCAGATCGATATGGATACTCACCAGGTATGGATACTCACCAGGTGAATATGGCAGATCATATGCCTTGCTAACAACATTAAATTCTATAGTTGTGCCAAGTTCTTATATGCAGGCAAGTGGTCAAAAATGCTGGGAGGATGCAATTCATGAAGAATTGGTTGCCCTTGCGGAAAATGATACATGGGATATGGTGGATAGACCAAAAAATGCAACAATTATTGGAAGTAGATGGGTGTAATCAATCAAGATGAAAGCTGATGGATTCGTAGATCGATACAAGGCAAGATTGGTGGCTCAAGGGTACAAACAGGAGTATGGAATCGACTACAATGAAACATTTGCTCCGGTAGATAAGATGACGACAATACGTATATTGCTTGCTTTAGCGTCAATAAAAAGTTGGAAGTTACATCAACTGGACGTCAAGAATGCTTTCCTCCACGGAGACTTGCAAGAAGTGGTCTATATGAATCCACCACCTGGTTATAAATATTCTAGCGCAAATCAGGTGTGTCGTCTTAAAAAATCTTTGTGTGGATTAAAGCAGGCTCCTCGCTCTTGGTTTGAAAAATTTCGAACAAAATCTTAGGTGCTGGTTTTACTCAGAGCATCTCAGATTATTCATTATTCCTACGTCGGTCCAGCTCAGGTATTACTATTCTACTTATTTACGTAGATGACATGATTATCACGGGAAATGATGAAGTTGGAATCTCTCATCTGAAAAACCTATTAGACTCCTCATTCAAGATGAAGGACCTAGGTAAGCTAACATATTTTTTGGGCTTGGAGGTGAGTTATGGAAAAGAAGGCATACGATTATGTCAACAAAAGTATGCAGAAGATCTTGTTCAGTTAGCTAATCTCACAGATGACAAGAAGGTTCATACTCCAATGGAAGTGAATACGAAATACAGAAAAGAGGAAGGAGAACTTTTTGGAGATCAAACTTTGTATAGACGTTTGGTTGGGTCACTTATATATCTTACCATGAGTCGTCCTGATATCTCCTATGCAGTACAAGTGTTAAGTCAATTCGTCACTAAGCCTTACAAGATCCACTACTCAG